CCGGGCTGGGGATTCGAACCCGCCACCTTAGGTGTACGTGGCTGGCGCCTTAGCCGGTTGAGCTATAGGTGCCGAGCCTGGTTTTCTTTCTTTCTTTTTTTTTTTTTTTTTTTGAGACAGAGTCTTAAGCTCCACCTTGGTAGAGTGTGGTGGTTGTCAGCATAGCATATAGCAACCTCCAATTCATGGGCTCAAGCGATCCTCTTGCCTCAGTTTTTCTATTTTTAGTAGAGACAGGGTCTCTCTCTGGCTCAGGCTGATCTTGAACTCCAGAGCTCAAGCAAGCCACCTGCCTCAGCCTTCCAGAGTGTTAAGATTACAGGTGTTGAGGCACCACGCCTGGCCTCAGTTTGGTTTTCTAAGCATGCATACCAGCCTTGCTACATGCCCTTTTTCCCTCTTCCCACTGACCATAGACCAAGAATTATTTTATCTGTCTCTTTTGGATTTTTTTTTAAAGTGAAAGGTAAAATTTTCCTCTTTGGTTAAATAAGTTCCCGTTTTGAACGTTCGGCATATAGTTTGAACTTTATTCACCTCCTGAGCTAGTACAGTAGTACTGGGAGTTGCTGCAGAAGCAATCTAAAACCAGATGAGTTTCCAGTCATGGGCGGACAAGGAGGTGAGCCAATCTTGTATGTGATCACTGGTCAGCGGGGGCCTCTGAAAAGCAAGAAGTCAAGTCAGAATTCTGGGTCCACCATCCTGGCAGTGCCATCAAAGGTGTTTTTGCTTCCACTGTGGTGACGTTAGAGGTGCTAAGTTATAATTGGGTGTATGTGGGGGAGTTTTGGGGGAAAGCATTGGCCTCAGAGTCAGAGAGTGAACTATTGTGACCTTGGTCAAGGCACAGCTTAGCTCTTGGTTTCCTTATCTGCACAGCAGGCTGGGTGCTGCTGCTAACTACCCCCAGGGTTCAGGAGTCACCATGTTGGTGACTATATTGTGTGCTTCCAAAAGGTAGGTGTGTCTATCACCTCAGGAATAAGTTGGGTGGTTTCTTCTTTTTTTTTTTTTTTAAACAAGACAGAGGGCATTCAAAACTACTTTGTGGAGCCTATTCTGAATGCTGTTGTGGCACTGATTCCTTTTGTTTGTGGACTAAAGTTGTATAGTAAAGGTATTTTAACACTAAATGATTTTATACTCTTCATGATATATCGTGAGCTCCATTTTACAGTTAGGAAAATTGGGATTCAATTGGGTCTCAGAGCTTTAATACTTTTTGGAATCTGGTGTCTTTTGAATACAGAGACTTTACGCTCAACCCCCTTCTGAGCTACTCACCTACACCAGCCCAAGGCCTCTCCTGCAGCTATCTGGGAAAGAGGATTAGAAACTCTTTTTGAGAGGCAGGTTGAAGGGAAAAAACTGCTGGTGTCATCATAGGATGGGCCCACATTTGGAACTTCCAAGGAAATGGAATTAGCCTAACCCAGGCAAGGACTTACCTTTGGCCTCTTCCCACAAGATGTCCTGAAGAAACTTCCCTAGGGCCTGGCTGTGCTGTTGGTACTGAGCCCCTGACAGCTTGATTCCAACATCCAAGGGGGAGTTAAACTAGGAGGTGGACGGGAAAAGACCCAGGAGGTATTAGACATCATGCGCCTCTATCCCTAAGGAGGCTCTGGGCCTCTACTTCCAAGGGGTAGGGTCCCACTGAACAATAATCCTAATCTCAGCCAGAGGGGGCTGCCTTCTTAGGCCCATGTCTTACCTCCTTTCTAACCCTTTTTTTTTTTTTTTTTTAAGACAGAGTCTTGCTGTGTTACCCAGGTTGGAGTGAAATGGCCCAAAATCCTGGGCTCAAGCTTTCCCTGGCAAGTAGCTAGGGCTAAGGCACCACCCCTACCTGGCATTTTATTTATTTAAATTTTTTTTTCTTTTTTTTAGAGACAGAGTCTCACTTTGTTGCCCTCAGTAGAGTGCTGTGGCGTCACAGGTCACAGCAACCTCCAGCTGTTGGGCTTAAGTGATTCTCTTGCCTAGCCTCCTGAGTACCTGGGACTACAGGTGCCCACCACAATGCCCACCTATTTTTTTGTTGCAGTTTGGCCAGGGCCAGGTTCAAACCTGCCACCCTCAGTATATGGGGACCGCACCCTACTCACTGAGCCACAGGCACTGCCCTATTTATTTAATTTTTTTGAGACAGAGTCTCTGTGCCTTGGGTAGAGTGCTGTGGCAGCATCATAGCTCACAGCCATCTCAAACTGTTAGGCTCAAGTAATCCTCTTGCCTCAGTCTCCTAAGTAGCTGGGGCTACAGGTGCCTGCTACACCTGCCTAGTTTCTCTATTTTTAGTAGAGATAGGACCTTACTCTTGCTCAGCCTGGTCTTGATCTCCTGAACTCAAGGAATCCACCACCTCAGCCTCCCAGAGTGCTAGGATTACAGACGTGAGCCACCGTGCCTGGCCACTTTCTTCTTTCTATGCCTGTGTTTCTTCCCTCCTACAGGGAGAGCACCCTGTCTTTGCTGTTTTCTAGGCATTCTCTGGGATGATTTATTGGAGCTCAGAGTTTTGAGTAAAATGGAAAAGAGCTCTGTTTGCTGTCCCATCACAGGTTTTTCAGGCCAGAAACCATCTGTTTTGCCGGTAACTACCCCAGTGCCTGGCTGTGTTGATCACTGAGATGTCTGAATGAGTCTGCAAAGGACTCTTAATGTGTGAAGGGAACTCTTAAGTTGTCCGGTGCTCATAGCAGAACCCAAGGAGTTGATGGCCAAGCCTACCTGGCCTGGAGCCCCCTCCAGTCCCATTGCGGCAACAGACATCCTCAGTGCTGTCCCATGATTCTCATTATACAGATGAGCAAACATCTCAGAGAGGTTATTAAGACAAAAAGTAGCTGCTTGCTCTCTTATTGAAGTTTACTCCCTGGCTTTGTGCCCATAGCACAGTGATTTGGTGCCAGCCACATACACCGAGGCCGGCAGGTTTGAACCTGGCCCGGGCCTGCTAAACAACAATGACAACTGCAACAAAAAATATCCGGGCATTGTGGCAGGCACCTGTGGTCCCAGCTACTTGGGAGGCTGAGGCAGTAGAAGCATTTAAGCCCAAGAGTTGGAGGTTGCTGTGAGCTGTGACGCCATAGCACTCTACTGAGGGCAACATAGTGAGACTGTCTCAAAAAAAGAGAAAGTTTACTCCATGCCCTTATCTCCACTATGAAGGTGGAGTGAAGTGGAGAATGATGGGCTTATCTTTTTTAGGAACTCATAGCCTTGGGTTCCCTGTCTTTAGTAAGTACTTGTTTTTCCTCTTCTTTTCTGAGGTTAATGCTGGGTAGTCAGATCACCTGACAGATGCCTGAGGAAACAACATGAGTGGCCATCTGAGAAACCCCAGGGTGGTCTGACACCCTGCTGCTGTGTTGGTGGGGCAAGTGAGAGGCAGCTTGAGGACAGCTGGTCAGGAGATTGGCTTTGCGTGATTTGAAAAAGCCCCTTCCCTCTTGGTCTTAGTGGCCTCTGCCCAGTGAGGTGGTACTTGGTCTCAAAAGTCTCCTCTGAAACTTAATTTTGGGGGAAAACATTTGGAGGGAGGTCAGGGGCCTGAGATATGAGGGGGGGACCTCAGAAGGGAAGGGTTTTGGTGGCCAACTCATCCCATCTCTGGCAACTCCAGTACCTCCCAGGCATTTCTCATGCCTGGTTCTAGTTGAGGCAGGATGGGGGTCATTTCCTTTGAGGTTAGCTTTCACAGAAACTGGAAGCTTCTTGTTACCTTAGCCCTGTCTTGCATTGTCAGCCACCAAGACCACCCCTTACCTGGTCCAGCGTAGAGCCTTTCTGGCTGAGATGACTGTCCAGTGGCTGGAGCTGGTAGTCTTATTAGGAAGGTCCCTAGGTTAGGTGGAAGGATGTTCAGGTGGACCTGGTGAGTTGGGGATCTCACACTGAGTGTGGAAGAAGGGTCTGAGAAGACCTCTAGGTTCTGGCGAGTGTCAGAGGGCAGAAGTTTGGGGAGCTTCGGGTTCCCCAGGCCAGGAAGGAGGAAGAGAGGGCTTGGGAGCTGGAGTCAGCTCTCAAGTCCTGCCCAATCACTGCCACACACTGGCTGTGGTCCCTCAGGCAAGTGAGCTTACTTTTTTTTTTGAGACAGAGTCTCACTTGGTAGCTCTCATAGTAAAGTGCTATGGCATAACAGCTCACAGCAACTTCAAACTCTTGGGCTCAAGCAATCCCTTTGCCTCAGCCTCCTAAGTAGCTGGGACTACAGGCGCCCTCCACAATGCCTGACTATTTTTAGAGACCAGGGCTCGGTCTGGCTCAGGCTCACCTGCCTTGGCCTCCCAGAGTGCTAGAATTATAGGCATGAGCCACCACGCTGGGCCTGACTCACCTCTATGAACTTCTGTTTCTTATTTATACAATGGGGATCCTAGCTGTAATCCTATCACTCTGGGAGGCTGAGGTGCAAGAGCAAGACCCCATTTCTAAAAAATGGCTGGGTGTTGTGGTAGGCTGAATCTCAGCTACTCAGAAGGCTCAGGCAAGCAGATCCCTTGGACCCAGGAGTTTGAGGTTGCTGTGAGCTATGATGATGCCATGGAACTCTACCCAGGGTGACAGAGTGCAACTCAGTCTCCAAAAATAAATGGGAATAAAAACATCATCCTTGCTTACCTCACAGGTTGTTGTAGAACTTAGATACATGGAAAGGGCAGAACAGCATAGTTGAAGTCACTATATGTAAGCACAGTGTGTAGCAATTGCTGTTACTACTCCCCCCTGGGGGAATCCTGGCTTAGCTGTAGGAAGCTGTCACTTGTAGAAACATCCCCTGAACCATAGCCAAACTTTCAGGAAGGTCACATGGAGAACTCTGTGAGATCCCTTTACTTTTTCCTCCCAATCTTGAATTGTTTCTAAACTTTCTTTGCCCCACGCCAGACTTCAGAGCAAAAATCAGTCTGATCTGTCCCCTCCTTGTCTACAGAGCTGGTGAGTGCTGGCTGCAGCTCACCTGTCTAGGTTCCATCTCAAAGGACTCCAACCCCAAGCTCAGGCCCAAGAAGCCCCTGAGTAAAACAAGTTTTCTGCAGAGAAGCACCTTCAGTCTTTGGCTGTTTGTTCCTAAGTGCCTTGATCACTTGCACTAGATTTACCGCTGCGTTTGAAATCACCTCAAGTCTGCTAGTACCCTCTTTTCCCTGCTCATGGCTCCTGCACCTTGTTCTGTTGTGGCAGTTACTTCTGGACATTTTTCTCTTAATGGGCAAAAGAGAGCCGGTACAGAGCTATTTTAGTGCTATTTTATAACCTTGAGCTTGTACATGGGTCATTTCCCTGTGCTCCCCCTTCCGTTAATCACCCCCAAATCATAAAACTGCATATGTACCAACCCGGATTTCCAGTTCGTCCTCTGCTGCATTCCCCTGGCTTCCATCTTCTGGGTGGACCCAGCCTTCTAGAGCTCGGGGCTGCAGTTTGGCTGGTGGCTTCTTGGACTCCTTTCTCTGCTGGAAAGGCGAGATGTTCTGTTTAGGACCCTAAGTCTCCATAGCCTTCCAGAAACAGAGTGAGGTCAGACCCAGAGTCTTTGTGCTCTGGGAGAAGGCTAAAGCCCAGAGAGAGGTTGAGCCACTGCTCTAGGTCACACATCTGGTTGCTAAGTGACAGGGCTAGAGCAAGATAGTCCACTTGTTCATATGTGGGGTTTTGTGGGGAGGGGTCTCACCTGGATCTTCTGATGATCGGGGCTCAAGAAGCTGGAGCCTGCCATGGCCACGTCTACCCAGAGCACACTGAGGAGCAGTAGGCTGCAGATGGTCCCCAGGGAGAGCATGGCTGCTGCCGGTTGCAGGTGGGCCTGGGGGAGAGAAGATCTTCAGGCTTCTCATTCTCTCAGTATGCCTCAGAATTTGCTCGGGTAGAAGCCCAACAGACAGGGTGCAGGGACTTTATGACTTAGGTTGCGATGGCTGAGTAGAGAAGGGCTTCCCTCTGCCTGCCTCCACAAAGTGGAAGAGAATTGAAGGATCATGTTGTCTTTTCTAAGACCATTCAGGGCAGAATGCTTGGCAGTAGGACTTGATGTGGGGGTTTGGGGCATCCACTCCAAGGTCATTTGCGCAGGCCCTGGGGACCTGTGTCAAATTTTTAAATGTGGGGTGGTGAAACTGAGCCAGCAAGGTTCTCTGGGGCCATGGAGGCAATGGGGCCCGCTCCTAAACCAAACTTCGTTTCTGAGCAGCCTGACCAGCCTAGTTTGTCCAATGTCCCCTTTGTTTAGATGGGCCTGCTGAGACACAGAGAAGTTAAATGAGTGGCCAACAGTCATACAGCAAGTTAAACCCTTTAGCAAACACACATGCAAAGAGTGGAAAGAGTGCCTACCTGTGGTTCCTGGCAGAGGTGGTGCCCAGTGGCTGCCTGGGGCTTATATAGGAAGCTTGGTGTTTGTTTTAAACCAGCAGCTTCAGCTCAGAGGTGGCCCACCTTCTGTGGGGCTGATGTACATTCCTTGGAAGCTAAAATGTTCATGTTCTCTGGAGAGAAATCAACATTGGATGTCAAAGTACCCTGAGAGATTTCTGGGTTGCCCTGAGGCAAAGCATTCACTCCAGCTGTCCCTGGAAAACAGTGTAGGGAGGTGCTCCAAGAGGGCATGGCCCTGGTTTAGGTGGGATTGAGGAGAATGGCGCTGGGGTCTGGGACTGGCTTTGCCGCTGTGTGATCTTAGCTCGCTCCCCCTTTCTCCCTTGGTAAAATGGGGTTGTTCCTGCTATATCATCTCCAAGGCCTTTCTAGTCCTGGTGCACCATTGTTTTCTATGGACTGGTGCTGGTCTGGCACCCACAAACCCCTGCAGCATGCTGGGAGCTGGGTTCATGAGATTCTCCCACCTCTTTGGTGGGGAAGGCCCCATTTCACAGACAGGACAGTGCCAGGAAGTGTGGTAGCACGTACTCCTGTCTTCTCTGAGGAGTTAAGCATGGGATAATTTCAGCCAGTGGCTACAATTCAGTCACTCTTTTGGGTGCTGTAGAAGACTCTGTGCTTGGCCTGGTGTTTCTTAAAACAGCAGCTTGCCTCCCTCCCTCAGCAGGTTTTGGTCCCTAAATGGATATCTGTCCTGAGACAGAGGTCTGCGCCTGGTACTGGTTTGCTAGTTGACTGGCCCTGGCCAGATCAGAGGCTGCCTTTCAGAGTCCTTTGAGGGCAAAATGAGGTGATGGGTGTGAAAATTCTATTTTTTTTTTTTTTTTTTTGAGACAGAGCCTCAAGCTTTCACCCTGGGTAGAGTGCCATGGCTTCACTGCTCACAGCAACCTCCAACTCCTAGGTTCAAGCGAGTCTCCTGCCTCCGCCTCCCAAGTAGCTGGGACCACAGGCACCCGCCACAACGCCTGGCTATTTTTTTTTGGTTGCATCCATTATTATTGTTTGACGGGTCTGGGCTGGATTCGAACCCGCCACCTTAGGTGTATGTGGCTGGTGTCTTAGCCGCTTGAGCCATAGGCGCTGAGCCGTGAAAATTCTTTATAACCTATAAAGTATCCTGCAGATGACAGCTAGTTCATACCACGCCCATAGGACTTGAAAGTATATGCCAAGGACATTGCCTCAAGTTTCTATGGCCCCAGGAATTCCTTAGTTTCTGGACAGTTTCATTTAATTAGATGCCCAGGTGCGGTGACTCCTGTGAGCCCAATGAGGTGTGTGTGCCAGGTCCTAGCAGTTCAGAGGAGGAACTCACTTCAGGCTGGGGCCTAGGGCTGGGATGGCAGGGCTGTGAAGAGAGTGTGTGGTAGCAAGCAGAGTGGTGTGAGTGAGTGGGTGGCAATGGCAGGGTGGGGTCATAACAAAAGGGCTAGAAAGTTTGAGGTCAGGTTATGCTGGCCCAAGAAGTTTGTGCTTTTTCTTTCTTTTTTTTTGTTTTTGTTTTTATTTTGTCAAGACAGAGTTCTACCCTATGCCCCGAGCAGAGTGCAATGGCGTCGTAGCTCACTGCAACCTCAGACTCGGGCTGTGGGCATCCTGCTGCCTCAGCCTCTGTCTGAGGCTACTGGAATTACAGGTGCTCACTGTGACGCCCGGTTGGGTTTTTCAATTTTTTTCATGAGTTGGGGTCTCACCTTGCTCAGACAAGCCTCGAACTCCTGAACTCAAGCAATCCTCCCGTCTCAACCTCCCATGGTGCTGGGGTTACAGGCGTGAGCCACCGCGCCCAGCAAGAAGTTTGTGCTTTATCTGTAGGAGGGAGGCCACTGAAGATTCTTGAACAGAGAAGGGATAGGCCATAGAACTAATGAAAGAGGAAGACTTTTAAGTCCTGGGAGGCTGAACTCTTTATTTTATTGGAAGAAAAACTGAACTCTAAGAGGGCCACACTTTCCCCAAAGCCACATAGCCATCATGGATGATGCTGGGACTCCCGGCTGGGTCTCTTGACTCCTAGTACACATCTGCTTTCATAATAAACATGGCGTTCCGGGATAATCAGTCTGCTCTGAGCAGGATGGAATTGGGGCAGGATGTCCAGTTAGGAGGATATTGAAGCAATGGGATAGTTGATGGCCAAATAACCACCCTAACTTAAAAGATTAACTTCAGGGTGGATTGGATCTTTGTAGGAACTCTTGGATGGGGGAGTCATACACTGGGCTGGATTGAATACTTCAGTAGAATGTTGGGGACTAAGTACCTCCTGTTGAGAATTACCTCATCACCAGCCCACTGTGGTGGCTGAATGCCATATTTAGCACCAGCAGAATATGAGTGTGTCACCAGGAGGCCTTCACAGTCCTTTCCTTAAGCACAGACCTCTTTTTGCCTTGGGGTCCAGAGGGGCTGAAAGTGGTAAGAGTGACTAAAAAATGAACCCCTGCAGCTTTTTCAGAGCCATCGGTTTCCCCTTCCCCGACCTCAGCCTACCCCCAAACAGAAAACCCCCAACTATGGTGACCAGGCACCTACTGAGACATGAAGCTGCCTCTTCCCGCTGACCCCAGGGGCCTCTGGAGGCTGGAGCAGCCAGTGTTGATCTTAGATAACACCATCGGCAAGTAAACACCCACTGCTCACTGTGTTATCTTTGGGGAACAGAAATGTCACTTGGGAGTTGGAAACCCCTCAACCACATACCATGGAGTCGGAGAAGGAAGATCTGATGGATACAAGAACCATTGAGGGAGGGAGGAAGCGCCCAGAAAGCACCTCACTGCCCTCTTGCAGTTGTGGAAGGGGGCTGGATGTGGGTTGGGAAACACAAGCAAATCTGAGCCAAGAAGAGTTTAGAGGAAGATCAAGTGACTGGCTTATTTTCTCCCACATTCATTTCACTGCTGGAAAAGAACCGAGACCAGTTTGGAACTCCCTGAGGGTCGGGAACAAAACCCTGTTCTTCCTCCTCCTCGGAATGTAGTTGGGCCTCAGTCAGCGTATCTCTTGATGGCTTGTTGGCTGGCTGATTCCCTTCCCGTTGCTGGTTGCCACATTGACTCTTCCTTTCACAAAGATTTCTCCGTAGCCTGCAGTGCTATTTGATTGCATTGTAACACAGTGGAGTTTCTTTCAAGATTGGAGTCAGTCTTCTCAAACCCTACTGTTGCTCAACCAACTAGGTTTGTGTGATGTTCTAAATTCTTTCCTTCATTTCAACAATATTTACAGTGTCTTCACCAGGTATGGATACACCTCAAGAAACCACTTTCTTTCCTCATCTATAAGAAGCAACTCCTTGGGCGGCGCCTGTGGCTCAGTGGGTAGGGTGCCAGCCCCATATACTGAGGGTGGTGGGTTCAAACCCGGCCCAGCCAAACTGCAACAAAAAAGTAGCTGGGCTTTGTGGCCGGCACCTGTAGTCCCAGCTACTCGGGAGGCTGAGGCAAGAGCATCACCTACACCCAGGAGTTGTAGGTTGCTGTGAGCTTCGTGACGCCATGGCACTCTACCAGGGCGTAAAGTGAGACTCTGTCTCTACCAAAAAAAAAAAGAAGAAGCAACTCCTCATCTTTTAGTTTTATCATGAGATTGCAGTGATTCAGGCCCATCTTTAGGTTCCACTTTCAATTCTAGTTCTCTTGCTGTTCTACCACATCTGCCGTTACTAACTCTCCTGAAGTCTTGAAGCCCTGTTAGTCATCCATGAGGGCTGGAATCAACTTCCAAACTACTGCTAATGTTGATATTTTAACTTCCATGAATCACAAGTGTTCTTCATGACATATAGAATAGTGAATCCTTTCTAGAAGGTTTTCGATTTACTTTGCCCAGATCCATCAGAGGAATCACTATCTTTGCCAGTTATAAATGAAGTGTATCGCTGGCTGGGTGTGGTAGCTCATGCTGTAATCCTAGCACTCTGGGAGGCTGAGGTGGTTGGATTTCTTGAGGGCAGGAGTTTGAGACCAGCCTGACCAGTAACGAGACCCTGACTCTACTAAAACATTGAAAAACTAGCCAGGTGTGGTGGTACATGCCTGTAGTCCCAGCTACTCAGGAGGCTGAGGCAAGAGGATCAGTTGAGCCCAAGAATTTGAGTTTGCTGCGAGCTACAATGATGCCAGGGCACTCTACCCAGGGTGAGAGGGTGAGATGGTCTCAAAAAGAAAAAAAAAAAAAGTAAATGAAATGTATTTCTGAAATATGACTTGAAAGCCAATTACTCTTTGATCCATGCGCTATAGAATGGATGCCATATTAACAAGCATGAAAACAGCATCAAGGGGCAGTGCCTATGGCTCAAGGAGTAGGGCACTGGCCCCATATGCTGAAGATGGCGGGTTCAAACCCAGCCCCAGACAAAAACTGCAAAAAACAAAACAAAACAGCATCAATCTCCTTGTACATCTC